TGGGAATGAGGGAGTTTAATTATCTGCACTTGTTTTTCTAGTATTTTAAAAATGCTGATGCTGCTCAATTGCTCATACAGTGAAGTGTAAGTTGGTGCCTCAGTTCATTTATGAACCAGTTTCAGATATTTTTTACTCTTATGAGATAGGTTAACATCCCTTCTGGATTGAAGCCCGAAAAGTATCCTCATTACATGGAGAGGAAACCTAGTTATGACTCTACCTCTGTTCTTGGTAAGCTTTACAACTACAGAGAGTCATCCAAGCCCGAAGATAACTCTCGAATAGGTGAAAATTTCTTATTCTTTAGGATTTTGAAAATATTGCATTCTTTTTTCTTTTTGTCATGTTTTATGATTTCTTGAAACTGAAACCAATTTGGAACCCCTTACAGATCTGCAATTTTTTCTTTCAAACAACCTTGTTGATTCGTAATGATATCTTACTACAGACTGATCATATCTAAGTTTAGGGTTATCCATTAGATCTCTTATTTGTGTCATTCTAAAGCTAAACTCAAGTTCTGCAACTATTGTAGAGGAGGCCCCCATTTCAAAATTTTAACGAGTTCATCCTTAATTGACCAAAATATCTAAAAACAAAGCTGTTGATTCATAATGACATAGTTGTACATTTGATCATATAAGAGCTTACGATTATCCATTTTAGCACTTTTGATAGATTAATTATGTGGATACCAATGTTTCTATAACTGCAGAGGTTTGGAAATTGCCATGTTTTGATGTTGAAGTTCCGGACACATGTATGATCCTTTGGGGGGAGAGATATCATAAACATTATTTACCAGAAATGACAGAGGCCATGAATTGTGGACCTGGTGGCTCTGAAGTAAGAAATGTTGCTGCAAATGATGTAATCAAGAAATACAAGCAGGTTTAATGTCCAAAATGCCCTTTCTCTACTCTAATATTTTTCTTTTCTTAGCTCTCCCTCTCTCTGTGCCCATTTTGTTCGGTAAGCTTTCCTTTTTTGTCCGTTCCAAAAATTTGAACCCTTTTTAAACCAAGTTTTTACTTTCACATTTTATGCTTTTATCAATCATTTCACTCTTTCCTTTTTCATAACATGTACTCCCTCTGTGCCACTCAAATGTTCTCACTTTCCTTTTTTGGACGTCCCATATAAAGGTTCTCATTTTTTTATAAAACAATTAACACTCTTAAATGATAATTTAATTATCAAATATTAAAAATAATACATCTATAACATCACAGTTGTCATTAATGACCCCATTGTATTATATACCCATCAAAACTATTTCCCAAAATATACTAGAATAACCTCATTTAATTACTGTCTAAATAACAGTGCCATTTTACAATGGGAACCTTTAAACGGGATGGAGGTAGTACTACTTTTTCTTCCTTTTAGAACATAACAGATAATAAAATGGGAAAATGGAAATTAAAAATCCAACTTTTTAGCGGTCTTCTTACAATAATCCCACCTTATTATAATTCAGGAATAATCCAACCTTTGCACCCCATCTTCATTCGCCGGTCCCTGACCGGTTGATGACCTGTTATTCCAGGTCTTTTCATTTTCTTTGCAAATCATTCAAACATAATCCCACCTTCTACAAATCTTCTCGAAACGGTCCCAAATATGATTTTTATTGTCTTCCTAGAGTTTTTCGTTCCCTTTTTATGTATTCCTATTCGTTGTAGTCTCTTTTTATAATTTTCCGGGCTGCTTATTTATATTTTTTCTTTGAATATTTTAGAAAAGAGAAAAATATAGGGGATATTCCTCAAATTGCATTTAATGAAACTTTAATTGCAAGAATATGAGTATAATTTTAAAAATCCTTAAATAGGACTAGTTTTCCAATTATATCCTTGCTTTGTTTAGTGCAATTCATATTTCATTAGTAATTAAAACATAAAAGTAATAACCTAACCTTATTCATAATAAAAATTAAATGTAGAAAAATAAAAAAACGAAAATAAATATTAAATAAAATTAATCAAACTAAAACATTAGAAAAATGAAAATTATAAAATTAAAACTCAAAAAAAAAATGAAAAAAAAAATGCAAGCATCTACTGCCTCTTTCTACAACCTCCCAATACCACCATCTTCGACCACTGTAAAAATGCCAACATGTGTTAGTAATGCCATCTTCATGACATTTTTTTAGAAAACTTTGGCATTTTCAAAGAGTAAATTCATGGCAATATAAGAGAAAATTGCAGTGTTTACACAAAATAACATTTTTTTCGACAATCGTAGTTGGCATTGTTGGGAGGTGGCGAGGCTGCGGGAAAGGCCTCCAACATGTGTTAGTAATGCCATCTTCATGACATTTTTTTAGAAAACTTTGGCATTTTCAAAGGGTAAATTTATGGCAATATAAGAGAAAAAATTGTAGTGTACACAAAATGACATTTTTTTCGACAATCGGAGTTGGCATTGCTGGGAGGTGGCGAGGCTGCGGGAAAGGCCTCCAATTTTTATTTTTATTTTTAATGTGTTTTATCTATTCTTACTTACTTTTAAAGTTTTCTTTAAATCCTATTTTTTATTACTGTTTATTATTTTCTTATTTTTCAAAATAATTTTAACTTTTTTTTACTATATTTTTATAAACTGAAATACTTTTTTATTATTTTTCTTTTTTATTATAATGTAAAATATGATTATTCTATTAAGTTATGGTAAGAGTAGAAATGTAGAATAAGAAGATAGATTGTATTTTAGTCCTATGTTGGGAAGATAAATAACATGGTCCTATTTATGCATTTAGAGGTTAGTTTAGTCCTATTTTGGGGCTATTTTCTCAAAAATATATTAGTGATGGAATAAAGATATGAAAAGGAAATATGAGATAAATAAGTGTACGTAAAAAGAAAGTAAAGTTAAAAGTTAGTACAGTGAGAAAAAGATCTTTTATAGGAAGTAAACTAATCAGAAAAATATAAAAAAAATGAAAATGAAATAATTAACAGGAAGAAGAAAAAGTAGGAAAAATGGAATACATAAACATTTAAAAAAATTGAAAAGAAATAAAAACAAGAAGACCAAAAAGGGGAATATAAGAGTCAAGATGATAAAAATAAAAAGAGAAAAGTTTAGGGAGAAAAAAGAAATGATACGTGGGACCGCTTAGAGAAGATTTGTGAAAGGTGGGATTTATGGTTGAATGATTTGCAAAGAAAATGAAAAAACCTGTAATAGGAGATCATCAACCAGTCAGGGACCAACGAATGAAAGGTTGGATTATTCCTGAATTACGATAAGGTGAGAATTTTGTAAGAAGACCGCTAAAAGGTTGAATTATTAGTTTCCATTTTCCCTAATAAAATAACAACAGTATCCTTCCTTTAAATTCTTAAAACTTTTGTCAAACTCAAATATTTCTTACGTTTTGAGATGGAGAGACTACTATATTCTATTTCATAGGCTGCCCCTATTTGAATCTACTTATTTTTTTAATGATGCAGTTACTCTATGATGCTTCTGATTTTGAAGAGAGCACGCGAAAGATTGACGAAATCTTTAATGAAGCTTTGGCCATCTATAATGTATGTTATGATTATGCAAAGAGATTCAATGATATAAAGAAATGCAGTTTTGCATGGAGGGTAGCCGGTTCCGCTCTCTGCAAATATCATGCACTGAAGCAAAAGGGACAACCCTTCCTTATCTTACCATCCATTTTGCAGGACATCTTATGATGGTTAGGCTGTTGAACCATAAAATCAGCTTGATGGTCTGTATATCGATGTTGCAATGGACAAAATGATGTTGCAAATCGGTCAAGCTCTGTTGTAAATATCGATTTGCAACAAAAATTGCACGAGTCTGTTGCAATACTGCTTTATTACTGTTTTTCTTAATGTGTTGTATTAATGTTAACGTATCAGTACACTAACTCTGCCGTAAATAACGATTTGTTATGTAAATTGCCTCAACTGTTTGTGTATAAAGGTTTAAACCTATTAATGTTCTGTTCTCCGTATATAGCAGTCGAGGCCAGTTGTTATAAGTTAACAAAATAATGGCCAAAAGAGTATACTTCTGTGTTCTTGTTAACAAAAAGTAAGCAGTTGAGGCTAGTTGTTAACAATTAAATTAATAAAACGACGTGGATAGTTATGCTTTATTGATCAAAAAACACTTGACTGATACGTAGTATGTAATTTTCTTCGAGAGTGGATAGTTATGAGCTTCAGGGTCTGTCAACACTCAAGAATAGTACCCATTCATTTAGATCTTTTGGTGTAATAGCAATTTGCAAATATAAAAATCAACTTGATATAATTGATTCAACGATTGTTCTAAAAATCGTTCTAGGCGCCTGATTAGCTTTGACTAGGCGCTCCGACTAATTGATTTGACACCTAGGTGAATTAATCGGCCGCGTAGGGCGCCTAGTGGACCCCCTAGAGCGCTTAATCAGCCGTCTAGGCATCTAGATTAAGAGTGGACTCGGGCCGGGCCAACCGGCCCGGAACAGGACCGGCCTGCTATTGTGTGGGCCCGGACCGGCCCGGTGAACCGGTTTGTTGACCGGTTCGGGCCAACCGGCCCGGTGGGATGGCGGTTCGGGCTCGGGCCCTTCAAAAGGTGAACCGGCCCGGCCGGTTCGGGCCCGACCTGGAACCGATTCGCCACCACTCGCGGGTGAAGCGAAGCTCTCGATCTGTTGTGCGTGGGAATGGTTGAAATGAGCTGAAATGGATTATACGGAGGTTATGAGCTTGTAGATGGTTGAAATGAATTAGAGGGGTAGTATTGGAAGAATGGTTCTATTTAGGGAATAATAATTTAACTACTATTTAAGAACTTCAGCAACAATTTAATCCTATTTGAGTAATTCCCTCTATATTTTTTACACACACAAACAGAATATTAGGAATCATATTTAGGCAAAAAATATAAATAAAACTATAACTTCTATGTCCGAGACTCCGACTAGGTCCCGTCTAGGCGTTGGGCTGATGCCAGACCACTACTGCCTAGGGCCTTTTAGAAAATTGATGAACATAAACAACTTGAATACAAATGTGTGTTATGTATAACATAAAAACAATCTGCTCTTTAGCATCAACCATTATAAACATCTATGTATATATTAATTCACTCAACGTATTAGAAATTCTGTGAGAACTGAGAAGGCATAATGAAATTTAATTAATTGATAGAAGAAGTTTAGAACCAAAATCAGCAAAGCAGAAGCCAAGTTTATGAAATCTCAAAAGACTCCTCCATCTTTTTCGTCATGAGCTGGAGCCCAACATTGTACTTCTTGACTAGATCCTCCAACGTCATCCCTGCCACTGGATCCACCGAGAACCGCCACTCTACCACGCACCCCTCACCGCCGCTGTCGGGAAGAATCTTCACCGTAGAAACATAGGACTGAAATCCAATGTTAGAGTCCACCATCTCATAGCTGAAGCTCTTATTGACGGGATCAATGGCCGTTAGCCTTTCATGGGACCAGCCAGGGACAGAGATGCCGTTCTCAGCTGGGATGGAGAAGCCGGTGCAGTGACGGACGCACCCGGGCGTGCCGTTGGTGCCATGAATGCCGTTGCAAATCGAGAGGCCGGGGAACCATTTGTTTAGGCCAAAAAAGTCTTGGAAAAGCGGCCATATTTGGTCGGCGGAGACCTTTACTAGCCTTGCTGTTACCTTCCCTTCCCACTTTGGCTGCTCCATGATGTCTGATTAAAGTAGAAAAACTAGCAGCTCGTCAAAAAATCACAAATTTAAAGTTTCAAAAACATGTTATAAGCAAGAATGCACTAACAAATCATATATTTACAGTAATGAACAAATAAATAATTTTCCGTGCGATTAAACAATGAATCATATAAGAGAAGAGAGATCTAGTGAGATGTAGCTCTAACTTCTCAAAGGCCTTTCATCGAACACCAGGCGTGCATTAAGCAATCCAAGATAAATATATTAAAAAGCATTAGAGCTGGAATTACCTAAAAGAAAAACCAGACGCTTAATGCCAAGAAGGATACGACCACTTTGGAGTAGGGATTAACCAATTTTCTTTATTCCTATTTTTTCGTTTTCTGCTTTGCCACATTTTCTTTTCTTTCTTTGTAAGACTTTGAGTTCCCACTTTATATTCCTGTCCTTTTTCTTTTGGTTTTTTTTTTCCATTTCTTTTATGTTACGTCGATTCTTTTCAAAGTTGACACCAAAATCTCTATGTTTACACATCCCGCAAAGATGACTTTTACTTGAAAATTAAATAATAAAAACTGTGTAATTAAAATTTATAGAATAATTGTAATCAATACTCCGTATTTGTTACTTTAAATAAAAAAAATTAGAAAGTTGACAAAGTTGTACGGGGAAAAATTGTAAGATAATTCATCAGGGACAATTCTTCTTTGTTCATCTAATAAATCATTTCAATTGCAGAAATTTCAGGGACATTTCACTTCCCCTCCTCATTTCAGGGCCTCCTCCTCCCCCTCCCCCTCCCCCTCCCCCTCCTAATAGATCTGCAAATCAATTTTTTTCACATTGACATTTTTTTGTCTACACAGACAACTAATATCTGTGTACACTGACATTGGTTTTCGTGCAACCAGCCTGGAGATCAGCAAACCATTTTTTTTACACCGACAGTTTTATCAAAAGTGTTTGTATTTGTACTTTTTTGTCTGTGCGAATGGCAAATAAAGAAGGTGTAACCCAGGCTGTGAGTCTAAACAGATGCAAAATGTTGTTGCATCTTTATGAGTCTAAACAGGCTGTCAAGGCAATGTGCTACGGTGCAGTGCTACCCTATGATGTGCAAGCCTTGAAAATATGCATGTTTTGCAGAGAGGATTCATTTTGATAGGGGATGGAGAGCCTGGCGTAATTCTCAGAAGTGGGATTGTCGCAAGAGGTCATCCCCAATTCTCCATTGACCATTGGGATAAGCTGAAATTTGTTAAGGAAGACACCAATCAGGTTAGAGAGGTGGTTGGACGGGGGTTCTACTAGCTCAGGTCAACTGTCAACAGAAACGAATTCACATTCAAAGTAAAAAAAAAATTATTTTGAGATTAAATGTGTGATGCTAAAAACCAGTCAAATCAAAGAGGGTCATAGTGTATCTATTCTTCTTGATGGACCCAACCGGTTCGGCCCGGCCTGGAACCAGTCCAGCCCGCTACTGTGCGGGCCCGGACCAGACCCGTTTTTTTTTCGGGTTTTTCAATTTTTTTGTTTTTCTTGGTTAGGGCAGGGTGTTTTTTTGGGGGGGGGGGGGGGGGGGGTGGGGTGAAGGGGGGGGGTCGAGGGTTAATTAGAAAGCAAAAAAAAAACATAGAACCGGGCCCGACCCGGACCCGGTTTATACCCGGGCCGGTTCCGAGCCCAACTATTTATAAAAAAGCCCGCTTAGGCCCGGCTCGGAACCCGGCCCGGAGCCCGACCCGGCCTGGCCCGGGCCCGGTCCATGCCTACGTTTACTACTCGCGAAGTAAACATGTCCTTACAGTTCCAATGGAAAGAAGAGACCTGTGCTTTCTACCACTAGCAGGCTGGGACGCTGGGTGGAAACACTGAATTTGTTAGTGAACTAGAAGCCATCGAAATACCGACTGTTTGTTGTTGAAATGTCATATTTCGTTTTTGTTCATTCTCAACACCGTAGAGAGATTGAAACAAAATATGTTGTGCACTAAGGATGTTTTTACTTGGACTGTAATTCACCAGACCAGGCCAGACTTGGATAGTTATAAAAATACAAAGAAACCATACCAGAGCAGACCAACAAATTACGGTCCAAGTAAAAACATCCTAAAATGAGGTTCAGTATTCTCTGTGATAGAGTGATAGTAAATAATGGGGCAGTGAAACCTATACAACCCTAAGCAAGATATTGGTAAGATATTCTCCTTCCGGATATGCGGGATCCAGAGGATGATCACAGGCTGCTCCTGCCTTGCGCACCACTGTGATTTTCTTCCCAACCTTTGCTGCAGCGCCCTGTCACCGGTAGTCTCACAATTAGTTTTTCTATTTGCTGTTTTCTTATTAAAGTACTCATTCAAAAACCATGCATTTTATCAGAGTTGGGTCATGACTCGTGAGAGAGAAGAACTTGCCTGAAGAATCTCTAGGAACATGCCACTTTGTGTCATTGCTCCAGAGCAGGAGCATGTCATGAGTAGACCTCCTCTCTTTGTTAACAACATAGCAAGTGAGTTGAGATTGCTATACATTCCAGATGCACTTTTTAGAACCTGGTTCAAGTATTGGGCACCAGCAGAAACCACAAACATATGCTGTTCAAAACACAAACGTTTCAGAGGAGGCAGGAAAAAGGACAATCAAATGACACATACCTTTTTCCTAGGTGCTAATTTAGGAGGGTCCAAAACGACTATGTCCCATTTTTCATGTTTAGAAAGCGCATCCTTCATAAACTCGCTTGCATCTTGTCTCACAAATGAAGTCCTTCTAGAACCCATCCCATTCAGATCAATGTTCTCTTTGGCGACATCCAGTGCAGGCAATGACGAATCAACACCTTGGAAAATGCGAACAAGTAGCTGGCGACAGTATTAGCTTAGATCATTCATTAAAATCCCACCACCAACAGAGGGCCGTTCGATCACAGATCAAACGCCCAGGACCAAAGACAAGCACTGTGTCTGTCTATGGAGATTGTGTGGCTAGCAAACATGCCTATGGGCTTGAATGCTATTATTACAATTCACATTAAAAAAAATAAAATCATAATTCTAATTACAAAAAACTAGTAAAGAATCCTAATATCCTATTGCAAGTCTTAACAAGCTCCCATATCATGCACAACCAGTCGAAACTTTTAGACTTATTGCACCTGCGATGCATGAATCTTGCCCCAGGGATTTCCACTTTAACAACATGGAATAACTTGACAAGGTCTAAACCCATGCATCCCAGATCGTCACAATCTCCATTTCTGAGATAAGCAGTTCATGGTTTGATGAAAGCATATCAGGACTAATATGTTTGCTTTGAAAAAATTGGTTGTTCTATGCTTATCCCAAACAATGGTTCTTGTTTAGAGAACAAGGTAGTAAATAGGGGCATTTACAAGGTAGAGAACAAGGTACTAAAATGGAATATGTTATGTCATTGTAAATGGAATGATACAACAACAACAACAACATCCAAGCCTTAGTCCCAAAAGATATTGGGGTCGGCTAACATGAATCGATACATGATATCACCACCAAAAGGAAAAGAAAGGAAATAAAGATAAAAAAGATAAGCTATTATAAAAAGATAATATAAAAAGAGATGAATATACATAAAAATGATAAAATAAAAAGGATACAAATAATGCTTATATAAATAAGGATAAAAAACAAGTGTAGTGCGAAGAGCCAAAATCAGGCATATTAAGAAGAGCCAAAAAGATAATACGAAGTATATACTACGTATGTGGTAGTACCAGTGACATCTGATGCACCCCCAAACGCGGCATTTAGAGCAAACCCTCCAGTGTAGCAGCAAATGTCAAGAACCCTACGACCTTCAGAAATTGTAGAAATGAACCAACGGTTATCACGCTGATCAGCATAAAAGCCCGTCTTTTGGCCATCCATTGATACCATATAGGAAATGCCATTTTCCATGACCTAAACAGCACAGAGACTAGAAGGTTATAATACACCCATAAGATTTTTATAAACATTCAGAAGCATCATCAAAAGTCATGAGTTGTGGACTCTCCAGCTAAGTAGCTCATAAACACGAATATATCGATACATCTATGAATGTTTTTCACATGTTATGTATACATGTTTTTTCATATACACATATGTCCATTTTTTCAAATAACTATGTTTAATAACCAATAATAAATATAGTCTACATGTTCAAATATAGAAATTAATAAATATTACTCCCTCGGTACCGCTAATATTGTCCCGTTTTACCTTTTCGGGAAATCCCACTAAAATGGTCCAATACCAATTTGGTAAAATTTATGTGGCTCTAAATCATACTTACTTTATTCTTACTTTATCAATTAATATCAACCACATAAACCCACTTTTCTTAATAACTGTGTCACTCCCTTCTGTCTCAATATTAGTGGGACGGAGGTAGTACTACATGATTAAACATAAAACACAATAGATTTCTAGTAATGCATTGAGTTATGAAGTATCACAAAGACCACGTTTAGGAATAAGTCTCGTATAAATCGATTAAAAAGGTAAACAAACACTATATATCAAAGTTTCCGACATGCTAATTAATCTGTTTCACAATTCTTCTTAATTGCAGAAACTGCCATGGAACAGAATTTCAAGTTTCCGACACACTTTCAAGCCATGAGAATTTTCTGTGCTTCTTAGCTTTCCAACCAAATAGCCAAGACATGCTTAACAGCTATGCAATCCTAGATAGCCAAAAGGTCTTACTTTTACCCTTTCTGGGGGAGGACGTACAAGATCTACAACCGTTGAACTAGAATAATCCAGGCCTTCTTCCTTGAGGATTTCAACCGATGGTCTCCAGCTTATGTGTTTAACTTCGTTGATCCGACTGATGCAAGACTCTACTAGTGGCCGGTACTTCTCCACCCAAGCAGCTGATGAAGCAACAACAGCTATATCTCCAAAGATATCAACAATTAGGCCTGACAGTCTGTAGCATGCAAGGCAAATAAGATAGAGAAGGGTAGGTAATTAAATCAATACTTACTGCTCATTTGTTTTACTTTTATCTTTAAAGATGAGATACAAGAATATAGAATTAGTTACTTGTGCTGCTACACGAGGAAGTTAAACAATAATAGTATTTGAGTAGAAGTATTGGCAAAAAAGGTAATAATAATAATGAAATAAAAGGAATGCACCTATCCCCTTCACTATTAATGAGACGGTATGCATTTGTTTTGAGAGAAGGTAGGCCTAAACTGTTGCGCAGTTGAGCAGCAGCAAAAATTCTGGTTTCTAGCAGTTCCTCAACATTTAGTGCACAGGAGAGTTCTCTGTTGAGTAACTTGAGTGAATTCAAAATAACACTCAAAACCGAATGAATGAACTAATGTATTAGTGAGAACCCATATGGTTGTATGAGTGAGAGCCCATTTGGTGACCTTTGTTTTCGGCTTGTCAGTCTTTTCAATCAACATTTTCACCGAACATATTATTCTTTATTTCGCCTTATTTTCGCACTCTAAATTGTCTAGTAATCAAAATAAGTAAGCTTGAAGTTACTTTTCTGGCTAAAGTACTAGTGCGGTAGAAAACCATTTTAGCTATTTTTTCTTGTATTATTTCTTTATATCATTTACAAAATATGTTTTAAAATTTTTTTCCCATAATTCGGTAGATTCAGTCAGAGGCTTCAGCTGAACTTAATAAATTTCAATAGAATCCGCAAATTCCTCCAATTTCCGATTTTAGTGTTACCAAATGGGCTCGGAATGAACAAATTAGTTAATGGATTATGAGTTGAGACGTGGAAAAGGGAGGAGGAGAAACAAACCTTGAAGCTTCATCCTCTAGCTGCATGAGGCGAACACAAAACATGGAGACAGAGTTGTAAAAGCCCCAACCAATTGGTTTCTGGGTTCCATCAGCCACGAGGACGACATCTCCCGTCTTGGGATGCGGTCGACCAATAATTCTGTCAACAGCGCCGCTGTAAACCATTGAGCTTCCACCCCTACCGAAAAGTTGGGTCTTTCCCTTCTTCAATACAACCTTCGCCACACCTGACAACAATTAGGTACTACTAGTAATGCCTTTCTTTATCATCGCCATTATTGTCGTTACTGTTGCTGTTGTTACGTACATAAAAGGAGGAGCATAGATGAAGCAAAGGTAATTAATTTGAGAGATTAATTGCCACTGACCTCCAGGTTGGTTAGAAGCAATTTCTTGAAGCGTATTGGTAGCGGCGGCGGAGGTGGCGGAAGGCGGCAATGAAGCCAAGCGGAAAACTGAGCGAGCGGTGAAGGCCATGGCCTCAAGGAGCTAAGCTAAAAGCTCACCCCTGGTTCACAGTTCAGCTAGTCGTGCTATGTCCCTTCCCTCCGGTTTAAAGGTCCCCACAAAAATGTGGGCAGTTTTTTAGCTTATGATTAAAAAAAAGTAATTCGAATAATGACAATTTTTGGAGTTTTATAAAAAATATTAATGAAATCAAATTTATTTATAAAAATATGAGTTTTATTATAATATTACAAATTTTATTGTTTTAATTTAAGACCCGATAGATGAAATGTATCCGTATAAAATCCGAATGATTAAAAATTATTCATCAATGACCTAACAGTCCATTGGTTTTCATTTATTTAATTTTTATTAATTTTTTAGTCACAAAATTTTTATAGTTTAATAAAATAAATAATATAAAAAATTAAATTAAAAACGATAAAATTCTGTTAATTTAGATCTTAGATTGATAATTTTAAATCATTCAGATCCAATATACCAACATATTTCATCTTTTAGTTTTCGAATTCATAATTCATTTATCGGTCCTGGGCTAATAAAATTCTTATAACAAATCAATCTAAATTGACTGCAAATATAATTTGACTTATTTGAGCACATAACCAAGTGCAAAATTAATACTCTCTCCGTCCCGAAAAGGTTGGCCAAATTTCCTTTTTTGGATGTTCCAAAAAGATTTGTCATTTCCATTTAGAGTAAGGAACATGTGGCTAAAATTAATTCTCTCTCCTTTGCACAAATTTCAACCACACGGTTTTTACTTTATTAATCAACGTGAAAGTCAACTTTGGCCAACCTTTTCGGGACAGAGGAAGTACAAGATATTTACCGAATTTTGAATGAGTATTTATTGTCTAGTCTGATCTGGTTTAAATTAGTTTAATTCAATACATGTGTATTTTAATTATGTGTATATTACTATTACAACTGTTGTAATCTGATTTAATTAATCTTATCTGGTCTTTTTTAAATATGGTCACATCTGATCTAGTTTGAAACTAAAATCAATCCAATTATAAACATGGCTTAAATACGTTTTTAATCCATGCGACTATGATACATTTTGTTTTAAGTCCTGATAAATATTTTTTTGTTTTTCATTCCTGAAATTTATGATCGTACGTTTTCTTGTTAGTCCATCACCGATGAAAACAACCTTTGTTTGACCTCGAAATAACCCCGACTAATATGTTTTAACTAATTCTTTGTCATACTATTCAAAAAAATATTTACTAAAAACATTCTTAGAAAGAAGCTAATATACGGTGTGATTAGGATTTAAGTACGATTAGTAATCTTTATAACACCAAAAATCAATACTCAATCAAACCGTACTTAATTGTCTGTCTATTAAAATAAGGATGTTTTTACTTGGACTGGAATTTTCTGGTCTGGTCTGGTCTAACTGGTTTGGCCTAGTAAATGTCTGGTCTCTGTCCATTTTATAACTATCCAAGTCTAGTCTGGTCTGGTCTGATCTGATCAGGAATTGAAAACAATCCAAGTAAAAACACTTTAAGAGCATCTCCAATGCTATAATGTGCACAGTGCACATGTGGCATGAGAGATAGACACAAAATGTTGATATTATAACATTTTTCTCTCCTACTTTCCACGGTCTTATGTGTTTTTGGTAAGTTTTTCTCAGCAATGTCAACCACAATGTCTACATCTAGACATTGTGTTTGACATTGTGAAGAAAAGTTTACCAAAATGATGTAAGATCCTTCAAATAAGGAGAGAGATATTCTATTTAGTACTCCGTATAATGTTTTGGATGTAATTATGATTAAACAATATAATCTTTATGACACAAATAAACAATCAAACTGTGCTTATTAATTGCCTACTTTATTCATATTACACATAAGAATAATATAATTAAATAACTAAAGTCGCATTTTGTGAATGAATCCAAACTTATTCTTTCTTATATATATTATCCTCATTTATGAACAAAATAAACTTAATTATTACCCGAATTTTAAGTACGTAGTATTGTTTAGTATTCCTTTTATTTGTATGGGCCCTAATCAACACTTGCGTAGTATTTTAGAATGGATTTGTGATTTAGGTCTCCCTATTTTCTCAACACTTGATAAAATTCCTTGCCGCCCAAGCTACGTACGGAGTATTTTGTTTCCTTTTTCTTGTGGGATTAGATTTCCACCTCCGATCCCTTTCCTAATTATTACTACGGTCTAGGACTACAGAATATATTGCTATATATATATACTCGTATATAGTGTATTATTTCGGTCGTCACATACATATTTTGTAGATGATGAGTAGTTGCAGTGATAACTTGTATATTAGCAATGAACTACTCTTTGAGATTCTGACTTGGTCATCTCTCACAACGGTAGATAAATGCAAGGCTGTGAGTAAGGAGGTGAAGGATCTCATTGACGATTCATGGTTCTTGCAAAACTACTGCCGCAAAACCAACAACGTCTTCGGCTACTTCCTTCAAACGTTCAAAGACCATCGCTACGTGTCCACTTTCGTGTCCGTTGACCCGTCCAAAAATCCGAATATTTCTCTCGAGTCCTTGAACGACGACCTACGCATCTTGGCGTCATCTAATCTTGGACTTTTGTGCTGTCGAAGGTACGACCGTGATGTCAGGTCGTACCTTTATTACGTTTGCAAGCCTTGTACTAGGCAGACGGTGTTGCTGCCTAGTCCGACCAAGAAGCTGGGACAACATATTGAGCAAGTTGCTTTGATCGTCCTTAAATCAAATCCATTGCATTACAAAGTCATCAGATTCTCACCTGATCGTCATTCGTAAGTCATCAAATCCTGTTTTTATTCCCATATTAATTGTTTATATTTATTCCTGTCATATACTCGTACTTCGTATTAATATAGGAATGGAAAAATTGCATATTTAGAAATCTAGCTAATTAACCAGAACAGATACTAGGTTAGAAATATTTGCCCCCCAAATAAAAGAAACCTAACTAACTGTAAAAAAAACTAGCTACCTATCTGTTTTGACAATGCTGTTTAGAACACTTTCTGCTTATCTTTTCGAAAGGTAAAAAACAGGAAACGGTCTTCTGAAAATAATTTAAGCTGCGCTGAATATATCAATACATATGGCCTGTTTTGATTGAGCTAAAATTAATTTATGATTGATTTATTCGTGATTTCTGTCTGAAACATAATGTTTGGGTGCAAACTCAATGATTAATTAGAAATATGAGCTATCTATGAATCCAATCCAATTTTGATATAAATATGGTAGGAAATCTAAACTGATCAAAAGACGGCCAATTTTTCTTAGCATTAGTAATCGTTAATGCTACTTTAATTTGGACAATCCATAATCATATTTACAAATCTCAGGCCGCCGGAATGCAATAGCTACGCATGTGAGATATTTGATTCTAAAATTTGGGCGTGGAGGACGGTAGATAACTTCGTGACAGAATTCTGCACAATATTCGGAAACCAACAATCCATCTGCATCGGTGACGTGGCATATTGGCTATCCAACAAAGACACCATTTTGGCATTTGACTCAGCCACCGAAACTCACTCGGAATTTCAACTGCCAAAAACAATAACACAAATTGACGTCGGAGGCGGCAGCGGCGGCTACATCATCGGAAAGCAAATTGTGGAGTACAAAGGAAAGCTCGGGCTTACGTGTCGGTGCATCTTCAGGTCACCGTCTTCATGTAATCTGTTGTTGCTGTGGGTGCTAGAGGACAGGAAGCGGTGGGAGTGGGGGTTAGAGCGTGTGGTGAGGATCGACGAGAAGGAGAGAAAGTTGATGGGGTGCGGCCTTGCGGATGTGGCGCTTATGGTTGGATATGAGACTCAAGTATATGAACAAGGTGGTTTCTTTTATTATAGTCCTCCTCTCCACGTCTTTCCTTTCCGGTCCGATTTTGAGCCCGTAAATCTTGAGGATGGATGCATGCTTAGTTGCTTAGATGATATTATCCAGTTTTGATCTTTTGTGTATGATGACAATGCAAGCTAAGCTCTGATTGTAATACTTGTGGTGATGCATATATTTTTGTTAAGTTCATAATCGATTGTATTACTTCGTATCGATCTAGCTAGTACCTATATATTAACAGTTTTTTAATGGGATAAGTTAATTTCAGTAAGTATATTTTTATTCAAGACGAGTAATAAGTACTTTTAATTTATTACTAAGGACAAAGTGTTTGACAGGAAATATATTTCTCTTTATAACAAGAATTTGTTTAGTGCTGATTTAATAAATTAAACAAGAGCACGGGTTTAAAACACTTGGTGATTAATGAGAACTTTTCTATGATAAAACTATAAAAGTACACATGCATATACTACGTAATAAATTAACCCAAATAGCCTCATAAAATAGACTCATATATAAATGTTTTGTGGAAAACTAATTAACATTCGAACTTTTCTTCCTCAATGGTTATCGAATAATACATAAAATATTTGAAAACAAATAAAAAAGTCATTGTTTGATTTAGTTCAGTTTAGGATGTTTTAACTTGGACCGTTTTCGGTCCCAGACCAGATCAGATCAGACTTAAACAGACTAGACCATATTAGACCAGACTTCCATAGTTATAAAATACACAGAGATCATACATTTTTCAAACCAGGTCAGTTCAAACCAGATCAGACCAGGTGAGTTCAATCCAAGTAAAAACATCCTTAGTATAACTAGCTAGTTGATGTGACTAAGGAAATAATGGACATGAATTGGAGTAAAACATGATGAGAGTTCCAAAATATGAGTATATGTTTAATATTCCTTAAATATAGGACTCCATATTGCATGTATGCTCGTGTTATAATTAAATCTAATTAATTCTTTCTCACCCGTTCGGGACATCATCAATCGATCTTCTTCGAATCTTCTCCCTCTCTCTGATCCTTTCTCCCCCTCTACACTTCCTCTCTTTCACCTCAGGGGTGTTTGGAATTATTTCTGCTTCTTTTTTAAAGTAGAATCAAAATCAGAATCAGTTTTTCATAAGTTGGTCTCGCTCAGCTCTTAAAAATCTGCTTCTAGGAGTGATTTGGGGCGCCCAGAAGTACTTCTGCACTTTCACCCTAATACTCCAAAATTTGCTACTGCTCTTTAAAGGAGCAGAAGTACTTTTAAAAAGTAGATCCAAACACCTCCCTCTTCTCTCAGTTTCGAATCTGACAACACCTCTTCTCTAAGTCCCAGATTCGGCAGCACCTCTTCTCCGGGTTCCAGATCCGGTGGCACCTCTTCTCCAGTTCTAGATCCAACGGCACCTCTTGTCGAGCCCGAACACCATAGGCTCGAACTCGGTTCTGTAGTGTTTTGATAGTGCTCGAGTTCGTGCTCTAAGCTCGACGAGCTCTATTTATTAGGCTCGAGCTCGATTCGGTCGGTGTTCGAAGCTCGGTTCAGATACTCGATAGGCTCGAAAAAAGTTGGAACAGAAAAGTTCGATTAGAGCTCGAGTTCAAACACAAGCTCGTTTAATGAAAAAAAGTTGGATTAGAGCTCGGGTTCGAAAAAGTTCTTCATAAGTGATACTCCGTAATAAATAAATAAGTATTTGAATTAGTAGATGAGAAAGTAAAGTGGACATATGGATAAAAAATTATTTATTTATACAAGTGTTCGATAGGCTCGATAACGTATGTTCGATAGGCTCGATAACGTATCGAACCGAATACCATCATGTTCAAGCTCGGCTCGTTTTTTTTCGAATTGTAATTGGAGCTTGTATTCGGATTCGGAGTTCGTTAAGCTCAGTTCGTTAAGCTCGAAAACGAACATGAGCTCGAACTGCTCGATAAATGTTCGGTTCGATAACAGCACTAGTTCCAGATCTGGTGGATGTGGTAGTGAAATGACTTCAATGGTTACTGAGTAAGTGTCTCCTCCTCCTCTTTCTCATTCTTTTTATTTTTTCTCACTCTCTTCCTCCTAATTTCTTTTTCTCGCCTAAATTAACGGTGAGGCTCTAACAATTGATCGGAATATTACTTCTTCTTTAGGAGATTGTTTACTTTTAAGTCTCAACTTATTAAAAATCAAATGTTTACTTTCTGATGGGAATAGGGTTAAAGACTCTAATAGGAGCTAAACATAGGCTTCGTATGCAAATAGGAGCTCTAACTTTTTAAACCCTAAATAGGACCTAATTTCATCCGGACGGACAAAAATACCCCCAGCTTCTTTACTACCGATCTAGCTTCTTCGCAGACCAGCTGACTCTCCCTTCCGATCCGTACAATCGCGATTGTAGAATCTCCGGACTCAGCTGACAACGACGAATATCGAATCAATCTTCCTCGCAAAACAATCTTCCTCGCAAAATAATTGCAGAATAATTCGTTGATTGAAGAACGAAACTCAGATCGATTCTTTTCCAATCGCGCTTTACGTTCACGTCGAAACTCATATTTTCGTTGACTACGGTAAGAGACTCATCCTTCGACATCAATATGATAGCAGAGCTTTTCATCCTTCGACATCCTTCGATCGATTTCTGACTGGATTCCTACAAATTTAGTTTCTTTGAAGATATCTTCTCTTCAAAATACAGCACACCTGTGATGTATGATTTCCGACAGAATTGCGGAAAAATCCTGTTGTTTTTTATTGTGTATCTTTATCATCAGGTTTATTTGTAGAATTATATTTATTGTTCAATGTCATCATACTGCAAAAATTCACACATTTACATAATAGATGCATATGTATTACGATTTGTGTTTACAATTCTGTTTTATAAAACATTGACATTGTTTTGTAAGCGTACAATGTCAAAAGCATGAAAAATACTCCGAATGTCAATGAATGTACGAATGTCATTCTATAATTTTTTTTTACAATGGCAATACCAATGTCATGTAAAAGCAATGTCTTAATTATTACGAGAGCAGCAAAATTGGTAAAAATAATACAATGTCATCCAAATGTTACAAATAATAAAAATGTTAGCCTTTGATAAATGAAATAAAAGATATTTATCAATTATACTAAATATTGACATTGTCATTAACATATGAAGTCCCTTGAAATAGCACAACGTAAAAGAAAATTGGATTTTGCTATATAATAAATTTTAGAAATTCACAACTGAAATTCTATAATTAAAAGTAACAATGTCATTGACATTGGTTAAATATTAAATGAAAAAAAATGTCTATATTTAATAAAAATTTGAAATGTCATTTGCAATGTCATACCGACATTTAAATGTCATTGACAATGCCATTCAATGTCTGATAATGTCATAAAATCTGCCAAACAAATAAATAACAAATAAATTTTTGACAATGGCAATACCAATGTCATTTAAAAGCAATGTCTTAATTAATACGAGAGCAACAAAATTGGTAAAAATAATACAATGTCATCCAAATGTTACAAATAATCAAAATGTTAGCCTTTGATAAATGAAATAAAAGATATTTATCAATTATAGTAAATATAGACATTGTCATTAACATATAAAGTCCCTTGAAATAGAACAACATAAAAGAAAATTGGATTTTGCTATATAATAAATTTAAAAAAATCACAACTAAAATTCTGCAATGTCATTTGCAATGCCATACCAACTTTTTAAATGTCATTGACAATGTCATTCAATGTCTGATAATGTCATTAAAGTTGTCCAACAAATAAATAACATATAAATTTTGAAAAAATTTAAACGACACATGGAGCGGTTTTGTGGGGCTGTGGCAACTACCTGCTCTAAAAAAACCGCGACCATCATTAAATTTACACAAAAGCAAAAGGTGGAGAGAGGATGCTCGTAACTTCAGAGAAGCGAAGAGCGCAGTTTTGAAACTCGAAAAAGTGGAGAGCCGAGGTCGAAAGTCTAGGTTCGAAGAAAGTAGCGAGCAAGTTGAAGACGACATTGCAATGGCAAGTAGTGAGGAAGTTGCAGAAGATAACCAAACACTGGTATGTCATTTGCTATATTTTTCTCTTATTTTGATTAAAGTTATCTCAAATAAATTGAAATAAATGTTCGTATTGTAGTTTTTTCAGTAACATTGTTATCATTGTTTACATTTATTTATCTCAAACGAGAATATTATTTTTGTGAACATGCATAAATAAATTGTATGTCATTGTAGTTTTTTCACTAACATTGTATGTTATTTGCTATATAATTGTTTACAACTTTAAATTTACTGTTATTGTTTACTTTTATTGTTATATTGCTGTTATTGTTAAATTGAGATAGTTTTTTCACTATCTCTTGTACATCTCGAAGTGTTATGAATGTTGTTTTGATTAAATTAGTTCAACTTCTCGTTGCATGTCTAAATAAATGTTTCTACTATAAGTATTGTAAATAGTATCCTTGTGTTCATATTAAAATTAACTTAAAATGTAATTTCTTAGTTTTATAAACATAAGAATGTAACAAAAATGTTATTGTTGATCATTAAATTAGGTTTATTTGTACTTATTTCATGTGTAATGAAATGTTACAGGCTATTACAAGGCTATGCCGTGATGAAAGGATAAGAAGTTCTGCAGATACTAGATTAAATGTTTACTGCAACGTTGATTCTGTTGCTGGACTGCTGAAGATGAAACTGAATGAAGAAGAACTCAATAACTTCAGAACAACATCATTTGGAAGCATTCTGGAAATTGCAGATATGAAATGGATAAGTGGCCAACTCCTGATATATTTAGTTGGTAGCAATGTCACTGAAATTAATGGCAATGTTGTTAAAGACATGCTTGTATTTCATATACAAAACAAACTTGTCACCTTCAGCAAAGAGGAGTTCTGTCTGCTCACAGGTTTAAGATTTACCGGTGACAAAGATATTGAAAAATCTGAAGAAGGTGATATTTGGAGAAGATACTTCCAGCAGAACAAGAAGAGGTCACTGTACCGAGGTGATGTCGCAAAGGCATTCAAAAATTTTAATAGGAAGGACAGTAATGCAAAGCCAGGTGATGGCGTGAAACTGGCACTATTGTATGTCCTATCAAATCTGCTCCTGGGAAATCAGACCTCCATTACAATGCCAATGGCCTATGCTGACTTGGTGAATGATCTGGATAAA